CTTTTCTGATGAAGGGTCTAGGCCCGAAACGTCAGCCTCTCTGCTCCCATGATGCTGCTTGGCCTGCTGTGTTCATCCAGCCCTGCACCTTGTTGTCTCTGCCTTTTGTGGCACTGTGTTTATACGCGACCGTCTTCCGTTCAGCAAGTCATGTGTCAAGACCTCCCCGCCCTCATCCCCCACCCCAACAGAGACGAGAGCAGACCATCTCGTCTGAAACTCGGTGGAGTGCTGTGGGAGAGCTGCACTGCTGAAAGGTCCACTTGTGGATGACACCATAAGTTCAGGTCCCCGTTAAACAATTGAAATATACTCTGCCTCCCCTACACGATCAGTGCTCAAACGGATTTGTGACACAACTTGGATGATTCAGTTAGTTTGTTTGAGCCAGACTATCTTGTGTGTCTCATGAAATGTTTACAGCATGTGTTTTGTATAAGAGGAACATTTCCCTGAGGCCACCTCTCACTTCGAATTACAGCCAAGAAAGTTCATTGTAATGTTTAGTTTTTGTATTGACCAAAACAGGTTTTCTTTTTAAAAGGCACAAGACATTAAAGTGCTAAGTCTCTGATTCTTTAAAAAAAAAGTCCTGAAACAGAGTAGACCAATTTATTCCAGGTGCCCAAAGCAATATTTATCTATGAGCAAAAATCATTCATTAAAACAATTTAAAAAATATATTTTTTTACATCTTTTTTACAGGTCAGCTGTTGCAATCCATTGCAACAGTGACAATAACTCAATTAGCCGTAAAGTGCTTTGAGGTCATGACAGGCGCTATAATCAATGAAAGTTTGGAGTTATGTGGCTTACTGAGAGTCCCTGCCTCTGGGTTGGAATTTGCGGGGTCCGTCTGCCCCAGAACGGTGTTTTCATTTAACTCGCTGGTGGGCATCACTGGATGGGCCGGCATTTACTGCTTGTCCCTATTTGCCCCTTGAAGGGGCGGTGGTGAGCTGCCTTCTTCAACCGCTGCAGTCCATATGCCTAGAGACTTTGTTAACAGGCATGCTAGGCCATTTCGGAGGGCAGTTAAGAGTCAGCCACATTGCTGTGGGTCTGGAGTCACATGTCGGTCAGACCTCTCATCCCCTTAAGGAGAAAGTCGGTGAACCTTGAGACTTTTCTTTTTAACAACAATGGGAACCATTAGGCTAGCTTTTAATTGGAGATTTTAGTTGCATTCAATTTTTACCCTATACCGTGTGGAATTTGAACTTGTGTCCCCAAGAACATTGATAGTCCAGTGATAATACCAATTGTAGATGCACCATAGAAAGCATCGGGTTACGTCGCACCTTGGTGGGTCAACTGCTCTGCCCAAGGCAAGAAATTACAGAGAGTTGTGAACTGCAGCCTAGTCCATCCGTCTTCCTTCCAATGACTCAATCTACACTTCCTACTACCTGGGAGAAAGCAGCTACCATAACCAAAGACCCCTGTCACCCAGGTTATACTCTCTTTCACCCTCTTCCAACGGGCAGAAGATACAAAAGTTTGAAAAGACGTGCCAGTAGATTCCAGAACAGCTCCTTCCCTGCTGTTATCAGACTTATGAACAGACCTCTCAAATATTACAGTTGATCTTTCTCTGCACCTTCTCTGTAGCTGTAACACCGTATTCTGCATTCTGTTCTATTACCCTGACTTTCTTGTGTAAGGTTTGATTTGCCAGGATAGCATGCAAAACAATATTTTTCACTATAGCTCAGTAGAATCCATAGAATCTCTATAGTGTGGAAACAGGCCATTTGGCCCAACAAATCCACACCGCCCCTCCGAAGAGCATCCCACCCAGACCCATTCCCTGTCACCCCGCAGTTCCCATGCCTAATCCACCCAATTTACACACCCCTAGACACTACGGGCAATTTAGCACATGTGACAATAATAGATCAAATCAAAATCCCCTGTTCAAACAGGTTGATTTTCTTTGATAAACGCGAAGCTTTATTTTTCTCTGGATTCGCTGCTATGCGTGCAGGGGGTAGGTTGCTCATTCACTGCATTTTCTTGCGTTTAGCTTTTAGGTGCGTGGACTGCGATCAGGAACTGAAATATGAGAATCCATACTTGGCTCATGTCCGCTTCCTGTGTGGCAAAAGGAAAAACTGTCTGGCCTGGAGGGACTTGCAGGCGCTCGGGGCTGCTCAGAGTTCTCTGCTGAAAGAGCCACAACTGATTACCGAGGATAGAGTCACTAACTTCCACAGGATCGCCCACGACCTGGAGCACTCGAAGCGAAAGCCTGGCGCCCAGGACGAGAGCCGGTCCCCGGCCGCCAGCAAAAGGAAACAAGACGGAGGGGAGGAGAATAAAATCCGCAAAACCGTTTTGTTGGAAAAGACAAACAATTTAGGCTGTGACCAGGGAGAGCAGCTTCCAAAAGACGAGTCAAGTGTCTGCCCGGCCCTCGCGGTCTCCATTTGGAGACTTCACTCAGACAAGTTCATGTTGAAGAAAGATTCAGCCGGGCATAACACCAGTGCTTTTACCGAGGTTCGGCGGCTCAGAGACAAGGTTAGAGCTGACAAAACCGAGGGCATTGTTAAAGAGGGCAGCTCTGACCTGACCAGGAAGGTCAGTCTAAGAACAGACGTGGTTCTCAGCTCCACAGGGAGCGCCTTCTCTTCAGTGTTACCTTCAAGTGCCCGCGAAGAACAGAAAAGTGCGTTTTGCCAACCCCAAAGGAGGACAGCTCTGGGTCCTTCAATGCTGGTGGCGCACGCCCTTCACTCTCCTACAGAGTGCTCTCGGGATTTCCCTGATTCTATCCCTTCCAGCCCTCTCCCTGGCCACGCCAACCTGTTGGGATCCAAGCTCCTCAGTGCTGACCTTAGCGGCTCCCACATACTACACACCAGCGTGAGCACTCACAGCCCATTTCTATACAGCACTGAGCTGTGGCCAAAGCCGGTGGGAGTACAGTTCCAGTCCACCTCCTCGCTGACCCTGCTGCCGCCGTCCTATACCTCGTTCGCTGTGTCCGCTCAGAACTGGTGCGCCAAGTGCAACGCCTCCTTCCGAATGACTTCCGACCTGGTGTTTCACATGAGGTCCCACCACAAAAAGGAGTACGCCACCGACTACCTGAGCCAGAGGCGCAGGGAAGACAAACTGACCTGCCCGATTTGTAATGAGTTCTTCAGGGAGCGCCATCACCTCTCGCGGCACATGACATCGCACAACTGAGATCCGATTCAGCATTGAAATGAGCGAGGTTTATCATCCGTTTTTTTTTGCTCGGAGTTTAATTACAAACTGGCAAAGCCCTCTTCCAGGATAGATCAGACGACCTGACCGTTTCAAAGCTGGCGAGCGAGCTGTCTAAACCTCCAAAATAATCTTGCAAAACACTGATTTATTTAGAGCGGGCAACTGAATCCGGAATACAAACAACTACCAATGTAATCCAAGTTGCATTTGCAGAATAATACCTACAAATAAATGCACAATACAAAAGACCCCCGGAACAGCCGCTTTAAACACCATTATGTACAGTAATAATTTCTGTTTTTAAGTACTGTGAACTTCTTGTAAAAGAAGCTGCAGCTGGTAAAGCGACCTTCAATTTTCATTTCTTCTCGTTTGGATAATTCCTTTTGAGAATATACTGTATGTATCTGCAGTCCACTTGTTACAAATATGTGTCCTTCATTCTTGTATTCTCGCTCCCGTACAGTCTGACATTGTCCCAACAGCACAGAGATGGCACAAAATCAATTTTCACAACAGCCCTCTAAATTGTTAGGTATGTGGCTGATCATCCGTTCGAACAGAGCCTGGTGATTGGATTGAAATTGACATATAAACACATAACCAATTACTCTTGAAAGTTGGTCTATTTCCTGCAGCCTACCACTGCACCCTGATAGGGTTGAGGAAAGATTGGGGGTGCTTAAGCCAATGTTGTTTCACGTACAGCGAAGAGGAAGTCATGGTGCTGATGATTGGTTAACAGAAGCTACAGGACAAACAATTATGAAGGATGGAAGATCCCAAATAATAATAGCCCATATATTCGTTAAATTCAATACTTTTTCTGTCACCCAGAACAAGTCAAAGGCAGGAGGGAACAGAGGGGTATTCACCGAGTGAGTGGTCGTTGAGGAAGTTTCACTTCAATTGATTGTCGTTCAGGATTCATTTTACAGGTGTTTGTATGTTAGGCGAATCAGTGACAGTGAGATAGCAAGAACTGCCGATGCTGGAGTCAGAGATAACACAGTGTGGAGCTGGAGGAGCACAGCGGGTCAGGCAGCGTCAGAGGAGCAGGAAAGCTGACATTTCTTCAGAAAAAAAAATCACTGACAATGTCCATTCATATTAGCTGTTGCTTATTACATTCTGTGGATCTGAACTAGGAGGAACCCATATCAGCTGAACACGTCTCATAACGCACGCGGTGTAAATGGCATCAGTTTTATCAATGGTTTGGAACCAGTTACAGTATTAATTTGGCGATAAATATTTAAAGATTTTTTACCCTACAAATGTGGAAATTATCTTCAGGTTTTAGACCTCCTTTATTGAAACTGCAAGAATGCAATTGTGGTCACTGCTCACCTGACATCCCGAGTTTTGGAAAGCAACATGAATGAAAACTCGAGTGATATTTGTTGATAGATTTATCAACTCCCAGTTGCAACGATATCCTTTTTGCTCCTCTCCGTTTCCCACCTGGAAAGACAGTAGTATCAGATACATGGGAAGACCAATAGTGCAAACTCTCCCCCAAGCCCCTGAGCTGACAGCGTCACAAACATGTTGAGGCGCGGAAGGAGACCACTTTGCCTCTGAGCATTTGACTTAGTGCCAATATCCTGCCATTCTTCCAACGCCCTGCTCATTGCTCCTAATTAAATAGTCATTTAATGCCCCTTGAATGCCTTGCAACTATATATATTGCCATTCCTTCACTGTGGCTGGGTCAAAATCTTGGAACCCCCTCCCTGACAGCGCTGATCCCACACCCCAAGGACTACAGCAGATCAAGAAGGCAGCTCACCACCACTCTCTCCAGCTGAGGGATGGGCAATAAATGCTGGTTCAACCAGCCACAGCTAAATATCATGAAGGGACAAAGTGCAATGGTTGCCCCACCCAGTCACAAGTTGTTTCCTATAAATAAAGAGTTCTGAGGAAGGGTCACCGGACCCGAAACGTTAACTCTGTTTCATTCCTTCACAGATGCTGCCAGACCTGCTGAGCTTTTCCAGCAACTTCTGTTTTTGTACAGTAATGGCTAGATTCATTAAATGACATTTATAAGACGACTTTCACATCTCAAGAAAGCTCTGAAGCCAGTTAGCTGTCTTTCGAATTAACCTGAGGCTGATGACCCTCAGCCTAAACTACCACCAGTCACGTTTTTCTCATGAAGAACAGGCTACTGTCTGGTAGGACTGTGGCGAGTTTACGTTTTAAAGCGTAGCCCCCGCACGCTACGTAAACAAACTTAATCTGAAGCTCATCTGCTTCATGGGGATGGAGAAATATCAAGGCAGTGAGGTGAGCCAAGCTTGTGCCAACACTAGTTTCCTGAACCAGGGTCAATTTGTACTCAGGTATGAGTCTCAGGATATGAGGTGGGCCATTTAGCACTGAGATGAGGAGAAATTTCTTCATCCAGAGAGTGGTGATCCTATAGAATTTTGTGAGCCACAAAACGTAGTTGAGGCCAAAACATTGAATGTTTTCAAGCGGGAGTTAGACATAGTTATTAGGATCAAAGGATATGGGTTGAGAAAGTGGGGACAGAGGACTGAGTTGGATGATCGGCCACGATCATATTGAATGGCAGATCAGGCTCAAGGGGCCGAGTGGCCTACCCCTGCTGCTGTTTTCTATGGTTTCTATGTAGAACCGAGTGGAGGGCACGGACAGCGATTTCAGAAAGTAAGTGCGGTTTCCTGCGGTCCCTTCGAGTTCTTTCTGACCTTGTGAAAGTCTTCAGAAGTTATCAGCAATGGAGACCGACATTCATTCTGTTGTGGTTAGCGTTTACCGAGATGAAAGAAACGCAACAATCGATATGTTATAGCACCCTTCAGGTTGGATTTTTTTTACAAAAATAGCTCCAGCTTGAGGCGGCAGCGGATGCGGGTAAAATAGCGGGAAGATACACCAGTGCAACCTCTCAACACACACACACACATCGCTGCCCGGCTGCCTTAGGGATGGAGGATGGTTTCCAATGTGGGCTGCAAGCTTTCCCCTCTGTCCCAGACCTCACTGATGCGTAAGGAGGCTGCCTCATCAAAGCAAGAAGATTTGCATTTGTGTAGCACCTTCCACGTACTCCCAACGCGCTCCCCTAAACCCATTGCAGCCAATTAACTACATTTGAGGCAGAGTCGCTGTTGTAGGGAAAACATCAGCTCCCGTGCACTCAACAAGATCCCACAAACGGTAGTGTTAAGGATGACTTATTTTAGTGTCGTTTGAGGGGCAGTTATTGGGCCTGGGAGAGGACTAGGGGTAGAACTCCCAAATCTTTTACCTATGTTGGGGAAGCGGGCAGGTCTGGGTTTAATAGCTCTGCAGAAAGATAGCACCTCCAACAGTGCAGCAGTCCCTCAGTACTGCACTTACCTGAGCTATAGAGTCATAGGGATGTACAGCATGGAAACAGACCCTTCGGTCCAACTCGTCCATGCCTGTCCTGAATTAATCTAGTCACATTTGCCAGCATTTGGCCCACGTCCCTGGAAACCCTTCCTATTTACATACCCATCCCGATGCCTTTTAAATGTTGTAATTGTACCCGCCTCCACCACTTCCTCTGGAACTTTGTTTCCAAGTGCTGATTGTATTGTGAGTGGGCTTTGAGCTGGGAACCTCTAACTCAGTGGAGGGGGTACTGACACCAGCAGGTGTAACGTGCAGGCTGATGTGGCCAGTAAAATCTGAAAAGAAAGGTACTGGACATTTAAGATTTACTGTCAGACTGTAGAGGGACTCATAGAAGAGGCAAGAAGCATTTAAGAAGCATTCACCGTCTATAATGATTCAAGGTAACATTAAAGGGCACCAAAACCAGTACCAAGAGATGTGTGTCTGAAGAGGGTTGTTCTCTACTATTTGTTTTACTTGAATTCATCTGTAGCTCGATACCCGGTGGGGTTATTGGCAGGTTCAGGAGGAGATAGAACCCTGGACACCCTCCAAAAAAAGGAAAAAAAAGACATGATGACTGGATCTGGAAAGCGCAGGGGAGCAGCACTCCACATGTTGGAAATTGACCTTTTATTTAATTCAATCGTGGGATGAGGTCATCGCTGGGCAGCATTTATTGCTCATCCCTAAGAACCACATTTCTGTGGGTCTGGAATCACATGTAGGCCAGCCCAGCTAAGGATGGCAGTTTCCTTCCCTAAAGGTCATTAGTGAAACAGAGGGGTTTCCCCCCAACAATCGACAAAGCTTCATGGTCATCATTAGACTCTTCATTCCATTTATTTATTAGATACAAATTCCATCTGCCATGGCGGGATTCGAACCCGCTTCCCCAGAACTTTATCTGAGTCCCTGGATTAACAGTCTAGCGATAATACCGCTAGGTGGTTGCCTCCTCTGCCGGTCGTCTATTTTGTTTCCAGAGTCGTAAAACTATCCACCATGCCTAAAGCAGCACTGATTTCAAAACACAAGAGGTAAAATAGAGCAAAGATATGCAGAAGTTGGAGATCAGAAACAAAATTGCTGGAGGAACTCAGCAGATCTGGCAGCATCTGTGGAGAGAAAACAGCGCTTCTTGATAAGGGTCACTGGACTCAAACGCTATTTAGTTCTGTTTTTCCACTCTAGAGGTTTCTGTCCAATCACAGTGACCAATCGGGTTGCAAACGCCATAAATATCCTCGTCCATGTTGGCAAGCCGGAAACTCTTAACAAATGGAGGGAGAGAGCAACATTTCGAGTCGACGCTGCCTCCACTGCTAAACGTCAGCAAGACATTTTTCTGTTTTTTTTATGTCAGATTTCCAGCACCGGCAGTTCTTTGTTTTATTTTACCTCCCAAATGGGTTTTCTGAGACATGATTGGCAAATTCAAAAATTAATCATCCTGACAGGAGTTAATTATTTTTAACCAATCACAAAGGAGAGATCGCATCAACCAATAAGAAAGCGGAACATGACGCAATGTTTATGGTCAGGAAATCCACAACAAGCCACTCTGCATTTTCTCCCGCAGATTCTAAAGTAAACCAGACTTTATGTTTACACTATGACTGAATGATAACTGGTTGTAGATTGCAAACTGTCGTTAGACATGTCAATTATATGGTTGACTCCTGCATTTTTTCCCTATGATAAAATACAGGAAGCTATTTAAATTGAACTTTCTATTCTCTGGGGAAAATTATATAATTAAATCAGTTACTTTTACAGTTTACTCCTTACTTCTCGTAATTACTTATTCAAAAACAGTAAAACTTTGGGGGTTTATCCCGCGTTTTTCGTCTGAAAGGGAAGTAGTATCTCAGTACAATGAGTTAAGGAAGAGTAAAGGCTTGGCGGTGAGGTGGAAGTGAATGGTCAGAGAGCTACAAATGCACACCACTGCAGCTCCACGCTTGCTGCCCTGACTCTCGGCGACAGAGATAGAGGGAGAGATAGACGAGGACGTAGAGAGAGTGAGAGAGAAAGACGGAGCGACAGAAATACAGATTGACAGATGGAGAGAGAGAGATGCAGAGAGAGATAGAGGGAGACCTAGTGAGATAGAGAGATACAGACAAAGAGATAGAGGGAGTGATAGAGACAGAGACAGAGAGGGAAAGATGGAGGAAGAGTTGGAGAGAGAGATATAGAGGCAGCGAGAGAGGCAGACAGAGAGGGAGACATACATAGAGAGAGATAGAGGGAGACAGAGAGAGTGAGATACAACTAGAGGGAGTGTTTGTGAGAGAGAGAGAGGCGTGTCTCCCTCCCGAAAGCTGGGACGAGTCACTTTGAATTGGTGCTGAAGGCACTGCTATTCCAGCTAGACATTTCCCCTAATCAATCTGTTCAGAGATGTGATAATATACCTCTGGAGCAGGTGGGAAGTTGAATCCGGGCCTCCTGGTCTGGACTTAGCGCCATTCTTGGCCATGCTAAATTCACATATTACACGTGGGCAGTTCATTTTGACCAGAGCACAGAATACTGCAGTTCAGTGACTGCTTTTACCACGCTCCGAGGAAGTTACCAGCTAATAAGCGACTAAAAGGATCAATTGTGGTAACAAGGAGATGGCAAGAGCTGCAGATGCTGGAGTCAGAGATAACGCAGTGTGGAACTGGAGGAACACAGCAGGTCAGGCAGCATCAGAGGAGCAGGAAAGCTGACGTTTCGAGTCAGGGCCCTTCTACAGAAAATGTTCTGAATTTGTACAATTGTACTAACGTATTTTTCCCAAACTTTTAGTTATAGTGGGTTAAAACGCTTATATTTACAACACATGTCCTGCTATTTATAATGATGTGAGTTAGAGTTCCTTATATTTTGATAAACGTGTGTTTATCAGGTAAGAATTCATGGCTTGGATTCTATGTAATATTTCAGATTGACAATATATATGTATTATAACGATAGAGATTGATTTAAAGATATTGAGTGTATAGATACCATTTTCAAGAAATAGATAATTTTATTAGGGCTAGTAGAATGAGATTGACTTAAAGCTTAGGCATTGGCTAACACACCAAAACAGATAGACACATCAAAGTGTTCTTAGTTTTTAACAATTTATTGTATTAATCGCCGAGTCACACGCCAAATTAACCCCATCCCGCCGAAACATCGCACGATATTTCTTGATGAGAAGGCGGAGTGTACAGAATAATGAGTCGAACGAGAAGAACACGGATGGAGCACAAGGCGGACAAAGACAAGGTCCAACTGTGTCATAATGTCTGAAGTTAGGATGCAGTGTCGTCCAATATCCCGTACTGGTAACACATTAATACAGTACACATTTGCATTTCTGAGAAAGGGTTATAGAATGAGTTCCAGCGTGACTGGCATAAAGAGAACGGGGCTTCGAATGCTTGTCCATTGACAATTACATTTTAATCCTCGATTCCTCCTAATTCTCTGAGAAAGTCATTAAATTACCATTCGTATTTAACTTTGGGGTTTATATGTTACATATAAACGACCTGATGCTGCGTTAGGAGGATCTATGTAAGTGACTTCTCAAGAGGTCTCTGGCTTTTTCTAGCGCCGTTTCAGCAGCTACCTCGAGGTGAGGGGCGACTCCAGTCCCTTCCCAGGACGCTCCGTCCGGATTGGAGGATTTGACCGTAGGGATGCTCAGATACAGCTGGGTGTCATCCACATGGTAGGTTTGCGGAGGGTGGGAACCGCCGCTGGTCAACTCGCCGACAACCAGAGCTCTCCCCAGCCTCTTCATCACGAAGACAAACTCCTCAGCTGCCCCCGAGGTAAAATTGCTGGTGAGGAGGATTAACTCCCTTCCAGAGCCATATCGCTCACCTTAAACAGCAGTGGAAACAATGACAAGGCAACATGACAAACGCACAGGCCGATAACTGACTTTGTAACAAATAACATTCCTGTACCTGCTACGTGTGGGAGCGTCCACAGTTCGGAGGTGGTGTCAGTGGGTCTGTTGTAAACAGTATCGAGGAGAACAGGCCTTCCATCGTCAAAAAAATAGGAACACAGGGCCGGGATGGCAGATGTAGGTCCTCCAATGTTGTACCTACTCGGTAGAAGATGTGTTTGAATTAGTTAGCGGCTAGAAATTGGAATGTGTGTGTGTGTTTGGGCCATTTCAACAACATTTCCAACACGGGGAGAGTGAAGGATTGAGCCTATATGTAACAGGGCACTGTGTTTCGGATTTTCACTCACTCTGATTGAAATCAAGGCATAATTCATGAAATCTCTTTATACAAAGAAACTAGTGAAACATCCGAACGACGCATTTTGAACTAAAATTATGTCTTGTGAGGCGCTGCATGATTCCTATCAAAGTGGACACCTTATGGAATTAAAACCCAAAAGCGCTGCATCTGTGGGATAGAGAAACAGGGGTATCATCCGGACTGCAACTTGATCCTTCTTTCGAACTGAAAAACAGTGGAAATAATCGGTTTTACTTGTTGAAAAAGCGGAAGGAACAAGTGGAGCAGAAGGGAGAGAGAGAGAGAGATTAGGGGTTAAAAGTATTATTGAACAGAAGACAAAAAGATAGATAATGGTTGGAGAGATTAAACAAGGTAAAAGTCCAGATTAGGCAGAATAAAGGTCGGAACTTGCTGGGAATCTGAATAAAGACAGAAAAAGCTGGAGAAACTCAGCAGTATGTGAACTGTACATGGCAGTATGCACGCTGTAATTCAGCGGGTCTGGCAGCATCTGGGGAGAGAGAAACAAAGTTTATGTTTGGAGTACAGTCAATATAGTGTGTGTACCGTATAAGCACATACAGTGTCAACGCTTTCTGTTTTTATTCACATTTGCAGCAGCCACAGTATTTTGCTTTTATTTGGTAGAATAGAGATAATCTTTGGGCAGTTTATGTATCTGTGCTGACTGTCCTTTCCTTCAATCATGTAGAGTTGCCTCAGCCCTTAAGGGATTGAGCACAATAGTCACACTCTGACTGCTCTGCCTCAATGTTTTGCCATTCTAGAAATTCTAGCCATGAAGTAATTTTGCTCTTTTTTCTGTAAATTTGAAAAGTACTTTGCAGATCTGGTCCAATTAACATGGGAAAACACAAATGCTTTTTTTTTCAAGGAAGAGAATTTTAACTCCTGTGCTGCATGTTTCAATAATGTGATTTCTCAAATTTACCAATAATCACCTTGCTCAAAATACTCTTTAAAGATTTTAATTTGGAACATGCTTATGGGCAAAGATGAAACTTGAAATTGAGTGTAATGCTAACACAGATACTTCTGAGATAACAAGGTGTAGAGCTGGATGAACACAGCAGGCCAAGCAGCATCAGAGGAGTAGGAAAGCTGA